CCCCCCCCCCCCAGGACCCCCCTAGCTACGCCTATGCATGTAGAAGATGATACAGAAAATTAGGTAAGGCTAATGCAGATACAAATAAAGCCTTTCATAAGCCTATTGCAAGTATCTGCCTGCTTTCAGAACTTTACCGATCAACCCATGAAATTAGCTTCTTTTCGGCTTATATAAGGGATTTTTCCGGCGAATAACTGGATTTTATAAAATTATTAGGCTTTAGGTATTGGGCTTAACAGAAGAAGGCAAGTTAAAGGTGTTTATCTGTAAGCTGTAGCTGTAACTCTTTAAAATTGCGCCGAGCGCTTCAGTAATAACCGCTTATTAGAGCTTTTCCGCTTGTTTTCGAACTGAAATCGTTGAATTTTACCTAATTTTCGTGAAAGTTTTCCTACCAGAAATGTCACATCAAACGCGCCCTCAAAGCTTCCTTAATCACAACGTAAACATACGGGGCCTACCTAAGGGAAGGACGACTATAAATGCAGCCCTTCACGCACCTCGTTAGAAAAAAGCACTGAATTGTAAACTATTATGGGCGGCTTAAAAAAATTATCAGTACCGTTTGTGCTATTTTCGCGTCATATCGGACCTCGCATCGCCTCTAAGGTTTAGATTTTATCGCTTTTCAAACCCAAATTATCATCTGTCCCTCTCATTATTTTCCATCTGACGGAAAACTGCTATCAAGAAACTCTAGTTTAACGAACCGACACTTGTGCAACTTACAAGTTACGCTTTATTGTGAAATCGAAGCCACGCTCTAGAACTCAAGACTCTTGAGGCCTTTTCATCCAGGCACAGCTTGCTATCGTCACTCACTATACTGCCGTGCTAAGGAAAAACGCCGTATAAACCTTACGGCGTTGCCAAATCTCCTCTTATAAAATACGAATAAATCGGGGAAGTTGTAAATCCTTTTTTTTAAATTTTTCAGAAAATTTTGTTCGCAATTTCATCTAAAATATCTGAGAATTTCAAGGGAAAATATGCATGAACTTTGTCAAAAACACACGTTTTCTTAGAGGAAATTTGGCAACTCTCGAATGTTCATACGGCGTTTTTCCTTGGCACGGCAGTGTGGAAAATGAATCTTTAACGCCCGAGTGGTCACGCTCACGCACAAGGTGCGCAGAAATCGGAAATCTCAGCTCCGAGCTACAACCTAATTGAACGTATTTCTGTCAAACAGAACTATGTGCATTAAGACATGAGCCCTGGAACCCATGAAAATATATGCATACCACGGCTCACGTCATAATGCGCATAGTTCCGTTTGGCAGAAATGCGTCCAATTAAAACAAGATTCTGCAATTAATTGAGAAACTAACTGCCAAAACGCCGAGCGTGATCGCGGAGAGTGACAGCCTCTTCCTGCATCCGCACTTCATCCAGCATTATCTTTCTCAGCCGTGAAGATTGAGTTACAATTTCCTCGTGCATGTCGTGCGTGCTTACTGCTTGTCTCTTCGCATGATTTGTAACACATAAAAGCTGCCTTGAGGTTTCCCTGCGTTGCCTTGGATCGTTCTCGACGTCGAGACAAGCGGGAAAGCTCTACTATGTTCGAATTAGCGACACGCTCAGCTGTTTTCTACGTGGGCGCGTTGTGAAGTTTCCCGAAGAGGATGAGCACCGCAGAGATGAAAGAACTCGCTCACTAAAATTTCAACTATCAATGGACCACTAGACAAGGTACGAATTTAGGCAATCAGATACATGTTTTTTGTCCAGAATTTCACGTAGAACACGATTCACACAACGAAAACTACTGAAACCACCTCCTAACGAAGATATTAACGTTTTTATTTCACATTGGTTACGAGGAATTCGAACTGCCCGCTCACAAGAAACTCAAAGCTCTACGTGAGTCAAATTGCGCACTACAACAGTTTCAGCAAGCTTCTTAATCGAGCAATGTTCATTTCCCACCATGTGTTGTTCAAACTATTAGCAATTCGCTATAGCTGAACCAAAGCGTCAAGATTGAGGTCGCCAGATTTTT